AGCTACATTTCTCTAAAAGGTGGCCACTCCCCTCAGATTAGGTCATTTACATTAGGTCTGTTTGATTAGGGACAGGAGGGTGTAACTGCAGATAAGGGAGGAATGACCACCTAGGAACTAGTGTTTGAGGAACCTTGGCTGCTGCAACTGCCCAACAGTTATGAGGATTTTGAAAACTGTGTGGATGAGAGTGGGGAATTACAGGGATGATGAGCGAACTGAACATAGCACCATGGTTCAGTGACATTGAAGTGTTGATTGGGGGTGGGAAATAGGAGCACAGTAGTGGTAGGAGACAGTGTAATTAGCAGAATAGACTCTATTATCTGCAAGCGTGAGCTAGCATCCTGAAGGTTGCATCTGGTGAAGCAAATTACTCGGGTTGTAGAGAGAGATTTCAAATAAATAGGGGGAAAATTCTGGAGAGAGGATTTGGGGGTCCAAGTTCATAAATCCTTAAAAAGATAGGATATGAGTTCAGCAGGCAATAGGAAAGTCAAATGGGATGTTGATCTTTATTTCAAAGGGAATGGAGTGAAACAATGAAGAAGTTTTGCTAGACCACATCTGGAATACAGTGAATGATTTTGGGCTCTTATTGAAGGGAAGATATACTGGCACTGGAGGCAGTCCAGAGAACTGGGCTGATCCGAGGCATGCAGGGATTTTCTTCTCTGGAGAGATTGAGTAAATTGGGCCTGTACTCATTGGAGTTTAGATGAATGAGAAGTAACTTTATTGAAACAAATAAGAGTCTTAGGCAGCTTGACAGGGTGGATGCAGGGAGGTTGTTTCTCCTTGTGGAAGACATTAGGACTAGAGGGCACAGCCTCAGAGTGAAGAGTTGCCCATTTAAGACAGAGAGGAGAAAGATATTTTTCTTTGAGCAATGAATCTGTGGAATTCTTCACCACAAAGGCTGTTGAGGCTGGGGCTTTCAGTATAGTCAAGGCTGAAGTCGACAGTTTGCTTTTTAATCGTTAAGGGAACGAAGGGATACTGGGGGAAAATGCAGAAAAGTGGAGTTGAGAATAATCAGATCAGCCATGATCTCTTTGAATGGTGGAGCAGGTTTGATTGGCCAAATGCCCTACATCTGCTTTTAAGTCTTGTGATGTCATGGTCAATAAGGAGATAGGGACCAATAGGCCTCTTGTTGGTTTATAATGTCCATGTAAAAGCAGGTCACAGAAATGCCACAAAACAATCTCTGTGTTTGGTCTCCCTACAGCAGAGGATGTCACATTGTCAATAGTAAATAGAGCTTCAAAAGTTAAAACTTTATGCTCAGTGAAATCAAAAAGCATCCACACTCCAAATTAAACTCTCACTTGACAGACAGTTTAAATGCTAAGACAGGAAAAATATAAATAGGGCAATATTTCAACAGTTCCATGAACCCTTCCTGTGTTGATGTTCTAGGGCCCTGTCAGATTGTTTATCACTTCTGGCTTGTGCTCTCTCATTACTTAAATCAACTCTGTTCAAGAGTTAATACTGTGGAGTATTAAGAGTTCTGAGTGATCTGTGATAAGCTAACAGCTTCTGTTTTAAGTGGTTTTGTGACTGAAGCAGCTCTCTCTCTCCCTGTGTTTTCTCGTCCTCAGTTTGTTCTTCACCCACTTAATGCATGAACTCTGAAGTTCCAAATAGTTGCATTTGAGTAAAACTCCAGAAGATTTCACAGCCTCTAACTATCTGTGCCATCTGACACATCAGTTGTTGTGATAATCAGTCAATAATCGCTGCTGTGGTGCTCACAATTCTCTGCACTCCAGAGTCTGATCTTCACATTGCTTGGTTTTATTGTGGAGTTAATATGTTGCATTTCATCTTCAATGCCTGTAACTCTTTTGCTTGTTGCTAAGTCTGAAAACGTGCCCAGATCAGTTTTTCCTCATGGGTTTCCCTCGGTGAGTGTGCAATTAATCTTCAATGTCTGGCAACTTCAGGATAATCAGGAAAGTTGACAACACTATTTCCTACCTTCCTACAACAGGACCCTTCATCAATGTGCTGTCAGATCTCAATAGGAATCTTACTTTCTTTGAAAAATCTACACAAATCTTGTCATTGTAGTAATGGTGTGTGTGTGAGAGAGAGATATATAGACAGGGAAAAAATACTGGATACAGAGAGGTAAAGGTAAGTGAAAAAGGATGAAGAATTTGACACTATTTGTCTGCTTTCTGTGTCCAATTATGATTTGTTAGTCTTAATCAAAGATTTCAGTCATTGCCTTGACTTCAAAGCTGACAGTGTAGAGTCTCACTGTTTGATTCTTCCACATTTGACAACCACGGACCTGAATCAGAATATTCTGACTCCATTAGGGAGCGTTGAATTGATCTGATTATCGACCCTGTGTAATCCCATTATTGAACAGCTGGGGGATGTGCAGTGTAAATGGCTTTTCTGCCTCGGAATTGAACTCTGACAGGTGACAGATGGCTTGATTTGAGGCCTGACCATACAGCTCTCCCTCCCTC